CTTTTCACAAATGTCCTTCAGTAGTCAATTTCCTGAACATCAGCAGAGTCATCAAGTTCACTCACAAATGAACAAATGCAAAGGAATGAAAGCTTACTAACCCGAGGTAGTATAATAGCTGCTACCTGAGCCATGGAGTTCTACTCAAGGCATGGAGCATGCCAAAACAGAGAAGAGACAAATTTGAGATAAAGAATGCATAATGGAAGACATATGTTGAGAAGACCAAACAACTTTTCCAGTTCTGCAATCTGAGCAAGAGGATTCTCCACCATGGGCAAATGATGGAACAAAGGATTTAAGTCTAATAAATCCCCAAGTGGCAGGTAAAAGAAATACATGGGATCCTGCTGACTTAGAAAGGATCAAGAGGGAACATAAGGTGACTGGGACTGAAGGGAGGCCACAGTCATAAGTTTTGTCTGAAGATTCGTCTGATACCAACAAGGAGAACTTTGAGACAATGTTCCTGGACAGAGTCCACATGCAATTCAGCATCAGGGGTGAAAGGACCTCGAGGTCAGTGAGGAAAGACCATTAAAGAAAGAAGAGGGCTCAGAAAGGACCTAGGAACTGGAAGTGCTGCCATAAAAATTTCTCAATTTTGCTAGAAGGCATGGGAATTTTAGATGACTTTCTCCAGAAAAAAAGAGGCTATCATTTACAAGCAATAATTATTGTTCTCCACAGAATCTAGGCAGTTGGTTTTTCCACCAACCTTTTGATAAACATTTTTCTCAGTTACTGTGTGGTTATAAGTGCTTCTCAAACACCACTCAGTTCTAGATTGACTAGAATGTTAGTAGAACTAAAAACAAGAAGCTTTCTGTTTTCTATCTCCCTCTTCCTTAACTCTCCTTCTCCATCACACATGCACACACAGACACACACACACACACACACACACACAGGTATAAAGACATACATGCTAAGTTGGTGGCTCCATCTATGACTGATAACACATATTGGGTTCTGGGAACTGTAGTAGTTTGTTTTGTTTGTTTTACTTGGTGCTATTGTAGAGGGGAAAAGTGATGCTAAGATTACAAACAGCTGCAATAGGCACATTTGGTTGATATTTTGAGCATGTATGTCCAATAAATTTTAGAATTGTAAAAAGTTACTGTCACACTTCATGAGGCGTGACGGTTTTCTATCAGCTTCTTGGGTTGTTGTAAAGGAAACAAGCCATTAAATTACTAAGGACCCAAGGACTAAAAAGAAAATTAAAAGGCATCTCCCTGGAACACTCCTGGGAATAGAAACTGGACTTGAGGCATAAAAAGAAAACCAAAGTCAACAGGTAAAAAAATGTCAAAAACTAGTAAATAAACAGAAAATTACTGCTCAGGTGTTACAAGAAAATAACACAAACCCAGAAAAGAAAAAGAGCAAGTTTGAGATCAGGCCTTCATATTGAAATCAAGATAGGAACTAAATAAAGATTAAAAAAAAGAAGAAGAAAGACATTTAGATATAGGAATATAATTGGCCATACATGAAGTAGAGAAAGAATAGAACCAAAATGAACCAAATGAAATTTTGAAAACTCAACTGAATCTACATGAAAATTTTCAGTGTAGGTAGATTCAAAAGGTAGACAGTTAAAAGTGATGGGGGAAAGGGTTGTTGGTGCTTTTACTAACTAGCCTCTTAGAACTTATAACATCAGGGGCTTAGAGACTTAGAGTTGCAGCAATCCAGCTATACGAGCCACCTACAATCTCAGAGGCAGACATAGGTGAACTCAAGGCTTTCACAAAGGAATCAGAGCCAAAACGAAGAGTGTGCATTTTCCTGGCATGTACCTTCATCAGAGACCTAACTGGAGTAGATTCAAGAACAGGATATTCTCATTATAACCATCAAGGACATCTTCAATTTCACTCATTCATACATTCAACAAATTGAGATTGAGTATGGCATTAAAAATATCCAGTTTAGAAGCTGGTATACAGAAGCAAAAATAGGCAGACAAAGGCACTATTTTCATGGAGCTTGCATTCTGTAAATATGTTCTCAGGTCTTAAGAGGTACAACAGAAGATTAAAGAGCAAGGAATAAGGGTGATTGGTTTTGGGTTGTTGTTTTTTTTTTTTAATAGAAGTTACCATTTGGGAGGAACTTCCAAAAAGGTGATTTGAGTGGAGACTTGCATGAATTCATGGCATAAATCAGAGGAGGGATGTTATAAGCAATGGGGAAGCAAGTGCAAAGACCCTGAGACAGGACTGAGCTTAATGTGTTCATAGACAGCTAGATGGTTAACATGGATGGAAAATAATAAGCAAGGGCAGGAATAGAAGAAGGTGAAATAGGCAAGGCAAACAAGAGCCAAACCATTAATACTTTGATAGAAGGGGTAGGGAATCTAGATTTTATGTGATGTGTGATGGAAAACATTGCAGGGCTTCAAGAAAAGGAATGGTGTGATCTTATTTACTTTAAAAGGGCTACTCTCACTTTCTCTGACTGACTTTATTTCAATTAGCATAATATTCTTTAACTCCATCTATCACTTCTGGGTAGAGACTGTGGGGCAAGAGTGAAAACAGAAGGAACATCAGAGATTACAGTAAATGTCCAGACCAGTGATGACTTAGTCTTGAGTGGTAACCTATAGAAGTAGAGAGAATCAATCAAATGTATTTTGAAGGTAAAACCAACAAAGCTTGTTATGAACAGATGCAATAAATGAGAAAAACAGGTATCTAGGATATTCTCAGCTTTGGGGCCTGAGAAACAAACTGAATAGTGGTATCCTTCAACTCTATGCAGATTTTATTTTCCTATTACCTTTGGTTTAAAAATCTCAAGAACAAAGAAAGAAAAATCTAACTATGCTAGTCTATCCACTCTGCAAAACAGTCTGGCAATTTCCTTTAAAAACTAAACATACATTTATTATGTGTCCCAACAATGTCATTCCTGGGTATTTAACCCAGAGAATTGAGAACTTATATCCGAACAAAAAACTGTACATAAATGCTTATGGCAGATTTCTTTGTAATAGCAAAAACTAGAAACAATCAAAATGGCTTTCAGTAGATGAACAGTTAAACAGTGATCTATCCAACCATGAAATACTACTCAGCAATAAACAGGAACAAACTATTGACACACTCAACAACTTAGATGGCTTACAAGGGGCTATGGTGAATGGAAAAGGCCAATTTCAAAAGGTTACATTTTGCATGACTCCACTCGCATAACATTCTCAAAATCACAACATTATATAGATGAAGAACAAAACAGTAGTTGCTGTGGCTTAGGGATGCTTCGGGGAAAGGGCAGACATGACTATAAAGGAGTAACATGAGGAAAGGATGGTTTTGGTAGTGATGGAACAACTCTGTATCTTAAGTTCAGTGGTAGTTACAGGAATCTATATGTGATAAAACAATACAGAATTATACACACATATAGTATTAGTGCCAATGCTGATTATACAAGATGTAACTACTGGAGGAAACTAGGTAAAGTACACAAAAGCCTTCTCTATACTATCTTTGCAACTTCCAGTGAATTAATAATTGCTTCAAAATAAATTTTTTAATCTATGTTCAAGTACAAGGCAAAATGCATTATATAAATACTGAAAGTAGTATAGTAATAAATATCACATCTGACAAAATATCATCTTCTGAATTTATAATGCAGCAATACATCTTACCACTTTAGGTGTGTAGGAAACAGTTTAATTAATCATCAGGATCTCTTTGTATGTAGGAACATATTTCCTCCTAAAAGCCCCTGAGGCAGACAGCACTTGGCATTCTCAGTCTACTACTCTATTTCTAAACAGCAAGTAGAACCTGTGCATTCTTGTTTCTGTACCTACACAAAGGCATATAGAGAGACTGAAGCTAAACTGACAACACTGGTGCTCCAATAGATATCAAAAACTCTAAACTCTGAAAATGTTAAAACTGCCTTACATTGACCCAAGATATTGACCTTTCATGGGCCACCCTACACTCCTGAACTCTTAACATCTTTCCCATCAGTGTCAAAATGTAAACCTCGGCAATGTGGAATCTCAGAAAGAATGGCTTAGACCACAAACCAATAACCATGACCCAAAGGCTTAACAAATGCTAATAACACTAATCATACCTCTACTGTAATGATCTTAAGGTTACTCTAAGGGTCAAAACTAGACTTGGATAAATCATCTAAGTCAACTTGAAGGCACAGATGATGGTGAAGTCTCCCTCAAAATCTTCTTTTAAGACAGCTTTTTTGATATGTATCTTCTTAATGTTCTGATCTTCTGACACAATCTATTCTCAGTTTGAGTGGAGAACACATGGTCTTTTACTCCTTTAGAGAACATTCTATTCTCAAGAACATCATCCATTTAGTACTCAGGTATGCCTGCTAAATCCTGAACATTTTTGTCATTGCCAATGAGCCTGCATTTACTAATCCTTTCATTCTCTCAAAGGGGCATATATTCAACCTAGAATGTCTGTACTGAAGACTAGATTTAAAACTTTTTTATGAGTCTTAATTATAAAAAAAAAAAAACAACATAAAACTATCCTGAGATCAACGTTAGTCAAGAATTCAATTACTAACTAAAGTATTTTCTAAACTATGTATCTCCCATCGTATCCTGTCTGGTTTTTTTGGAATTTAGCATTGCCAATAAAACCAATGGGATGTGCCAGGTGCTGCCTTTCTAGATGCTGGTCTCCCTTGGAAATAACTCTGCCAGATATGATGCTGTGAACAGAATTAAAGAGTTCCCATCCTGATTTTTGTATCACTCTATCCACACTGTTTTTCATGTTTTAATACATTCTAAAAAATAAAATACATTGTTTTGCATTTTATTTTCTAAGGCTGAATAAAAATTAAACCAATGTAAAATAACAATGGATTAAAAGCCTTTCTGAGGACAAAGTAGTTTCATTTTAATCATGTTAGAGATTGGAGCCTGGAAAACTGCCAACAACAATAATTTTTTAATTAAAAAAGAAAAACAAGATACTTACAGCCAACCATCATCATGGCCACTGAAAACATCTTCTCCACATCTGTAGTAGGAGCTATGTTTCCAAATCCTATGGTTGTAAGGCTTGTCATGGTAAAGTAGAGAGAGGACACGTACAGAGAATCCTTGCTGGGTCCTCCTTCCCATATCCCTGCACTGGTATTATATCGATATGGAGTCCCAATGCTCAAGGCCAGCTGGTAGAGCCAGCTGTCTATTTGGATGGTGTTCGTCACTTCATCGATGACCTCATAGTCCCCGATGCTGTACCATATACAGGCCAGCCAGTGGGCAACTAGTCCAAACACACATACCAGGAGCACAAGGACTGCTGCTCCATATTCTAGATAATGGTCCAATTTCCTAGCAACACGGCCCAGTCGCAAGAGACGAACCACTTTTAAAGAACTGAAGAGACTGCTGATTCCCTAAAGAAAAGAAAAGAAATGACATGACACTTTCAGAAATGAAAAGGCAAGGCTGGGAAACAATTCAATGGTTTACCTTCATGAACTTAACTGACCATGTGTACACCAAGAACATACATTTTAAGTCAAAAAAAAAAAAGGTAAAGAAACTTTTTTTTTAAAAAAAGCAGATTTTCCCACCAAGAAATAAGATATTTCTGAATAATTAAATAAGACAACTTTTCATTAGCTAAGGAAATTGCTCAAATGCAATATATACAGAGTATAGAAATAGGATGATGAAATCAGACCTTTTATCACTTCTTCCTATAAAACTTTTCCTCTACTTGAAAACCTTTATTTTTATTTTCACTTTATAATAACCATGAGCACCAAACTTCTGAGAAAGGAATCTCAATCTTACTGGCAAGCAAACAGGAAATACTTCTGTGCATATGAGGAGAATGAGCAAGTGCCATTGTTGCCTCCACTACCTCCAGTCACAGTCATGATAAGCACTAAATTTGTAGAGCTCTGAAAAAGTTAGGAGTTGAACGTAGAATGGGTACATAATTACAAAATCCCAAATCCTATCATCCTCTAGCAATAGTCATAGAAAAGAATACCATAAGGGAGCAGCAGCAAGATAATTCATATTTTGCTGAGAAGCTTAAAATCCAAATACAGCACTATCCAATTGCAAATATAGCATACATTTTCTTCAATCACTCCAAATCTCATAGTTATTTTTTTTGGAGGGGGAAGCTTATAATAAGCCATGTGGGGAAAGAGGATAAATTCATTCCTGATACAGGAAAGAAAGAGCTGTGATCAGGATGCCTCTCATCTGACTATCACTCTCAAATCTCATGAAATGTATGACTCTATTATTGCTAATTCTTTCTCCCAGGGAAGAGACAAGGAGTCTAGTGTAACTCACTCTGAGCTTCCTTCTGACCAACACAGAGGAACTGGTTGGTATAGTGAAACAGATGTGACATTAGTAAGACTCTAATTTTGGCATCATAAGGTTCTTGATAGTTCAGGTAAAAGGGTTAAGAATGTATTTGGTTATGTTATACTCCATGTGGTAGCATATGGCTGAGATATTTCAAAATAAATATTTGAAAGAGAAGCAAGAACAAGAGACCTTGTGGAAATAAAAGAGTAGCAGGAGCATTTTGACAGTTTTCTGTCTCAACTCAATACCTCAGGCCTGGCTCTATTTCAGTTCCTACTCTCAAATGTTGTGGCATTAATACAGCCTTAAAATAAACTCTCATTTTGCTTGAACACTTGAGGGGGGAAAACAAATATCAAACTTTAGGCGGTTAAAAAAAAAAACTAGGAAAATTCAGAAAATGAATTGGCATAATTCAGTGACATAAGATGATGAAAGGAAAGAAGGTTCAAGAGAACTTGGAAGCTCTCAGAAATGCAACCAGGTAATCACAAGCAACAAAGACAAAAATAAGCATTTATTAAGCACTTTTACAGCCCACCTCTGCATTAGGCCCTCGGGGCATTAAAATAAACATGCCTTGCTTTTGTTCTAAAGAAACCCATAGCCCAATGCATGACAAACTCAGGACTAAATTAAAAAATAAAACCAGTGTCGCTATAGATGTTGTTCTCTACTTAGTTTAAAATGCTAAAAGAACTATGATACTTCTGATAAAATACTGCATAGAAAGGGTGCCTGGGTGGCTTAGTTGGTTCAGTATCCGAATCTTGACTTTGGCTCAGGTCACGATCCCAGGGTTGATGGAGCCCCAAGTCGAGCCTATGATGAGCTCTGTGTTGGGCTCCATGCTGGGTGTGAAGCTTACTTAAGATTCTCTCCCTCTCTCTAAAAAACAAAACCAAAAAAAAAAAAAAACTGCACAAAGAAGTTATTTCTACCTGATTTTTCTCTAAAAACAGAAAAAAAAAAAACAAAAAGAAAAAACAGAGAGGAAATCTTTATCCTCATTGAAACTAAAAAATAGTTACCACTCTCATCTAGAATGCTAAGAATCAGGACCTCCTAGAATTAGGTCCCAATGCTGGGAGGACATGCTCTCCTGATCTCTGACAGGCAGAACTCTCCAAGAGGAGGTGGTCCACCCTGCAGGGTCCCTGCATAGGACCCCACTTATTCAAAAAGCATCATTTTCTATGGCCATGTCCAACACTACTGAAGCATTAAAAAATATTTTGTAAGCATTATAAACTCTGCCACAGGTTCTGTGATACCACTTTCTCCTGAGTTTTACCAACTGCCCAAATGATATCTCTTTCAAAATCGTTTTCTAGGGCTACCTCTCTCCATGCTTCTATGATGTGTTAGGATTCTCATCATGATTATCCTCAACACTCTTCTGGTTGACCTACTGCATGTGCATGATTCAACTGACTCCTATATATGGAAATCACCAGTCTACTTCTTAGCATAAAACTGTCTCCTAACTTGCTGATACAGAAGCCAAATACTCACTATACATTTCAATTTAAATGTCTCACAGGTGTTCAAAATGTAATTGGTCCCAAAGGGAATCCCTTGCTCTGCCTGAATGAGTTCTCCACCTCCTACTCTTTTGAGTGGCATCATTACCTGCCCCATCCCTCAGACAGCTGGTTATCAACTGTTATCAAAGGATGAGTAAGTGCTTAAAATATACCTACTTAATAAATATCTCAAAAATTTCCCTTCTTTCCTATTTCCAAGGCCTTGTCTTGGTCATGGCTTCATGTTTTTACTTACTTGTGTGACAAGAAGAGCCTCCCCTCCCCCCATCTGCCACCCTAGCTCTGTTCCTATTCCCTTTAATTCACAGATCACACTACACAGCCTACCAATCTGGGTATATTAAACATATCTATTTATTCATGTCCCTCTCCAATCTTTACTTCTACCTCATACCTATAGGATTGAGTATTAACTTCCTACTATGACATCCAAAACCCTTCAGAACCAATATCTGCCTATCTGGTCAGCATCTCTGCCACCAATTCTTCTTCCTGCCTTGTTCCGGCTATACTCAATTACCTGTAGTTCCCAGATACCTATATGTTTTATGTCACATCACTAGTTGCTCAGGTCATGATCTCAGGGTTGTGAAATGGAGCCCCAGGACAGGCTCCACACTCATCAGGGAATCTGCTTGGGATTTTCCCTCCCTCTGTCCCTCTGTCCTGCCTTCAACTTGTGTGTGTGCATGCACTCTCTGAATGAATGAATTAATGAATAAATAAATAAATCTTTTTTTAAAATAAATTAAAAAAAAAGACATAGCCCAGAAATGTTGAGTAATTTGACTAAGCTCACATAGCTAGTGAGAGGGGCTGAGATTCAAATACAAGCAGTCTGGTTCCATCTAGACTTCCTGCTTCTAACCACCGCACTATCTGACCTCATTCTGCAACTCTATATTATACCTAGAGCATCATTTGTAATTTAAGTACATTAGTACCTGCAATACTAGCTTATATATGGCCATTCTCTATACGACTGAGTAAAAGAAATTAAATACCTTGCCACACTCTTCTCCCCACCGAGGCACAGCCATGGCCCACCGCATGGGTATGTGGAGGCCCCAAAACTCTGTAGAGTCTGTACTCTGTAATACAGACCCAACTCACTGGATTCCCACAACAGCAGAATTCCTATATGCATTGTTCATATGAGGACATTGAAGTTTAGACATAGTAAATGACTTGTCCAAAGTCACAGAGCTAGAAAAGAATGGAAGCATCACTCAGACCTAATCCCTCAGATTCTTAGCACATTTCCCACAACAACCAACTGCTGGGCAGTCTTCCTGTCCTTACCCCCAACAATCCTTGCAATATTCATCTTTCTAACACACAGTACCCTCTAGGGACTCATCCCAGACATTACATTAACCACAAACTCCAGTGCAGACCTTCAGGAGGTGCCCAGGCCCACCTCCATCTGAACTGCCAGGTCATTTCCCACCATGCCTTTGCAAAGCCATAGTGCTAGGGCCAAACCAAACTCCTGTTTCCTCCAAAACACAACCCCAAAGTTTCACCTTTGAATCTGTCCAGAGTATTCCCTTCAACTACTTATAAAATCAGAAACTGTTATTCAAAATGAATAATATGCAAGTAGGCAAGTTTGCTTTATTTGGAAAGTTGCTTTAACTTTCTTTTTCTCCATTATCTTGTATCAAAGAGAATTTAATGCAATCATTATAACCAAAACTCAAAGTGAAAGGACTTGCTTTTAAAATGTGATGAAATAATAACTAATCTTCAATAAAGCAGGAAGGAATATCCAATGGAAAAAAGACTCAAAAAATGAGATGAAATACTTAAAACTTGAAATATTATAAATTTCCATCTCCAGTAGGATGGATAAATACATAATCACACATTCACTCAATGGAATGCTATCCAAAAATAAACATGAACAAAGTATCTATATACAACAAGAATGAATCTAAAAAGCATCATATTGAGCAAAAAGACCAGATACAGGAGATGATATACCATATGATTTCCTGTATAGAAAGTGTAAAAAACAGGTGGAACTCCTCTGTGGAATTAGAAGTCAATATAGCAGATCCTTATGCTAGGGGAGGGATAGTGACTATGATGAGCATGAGGAGAATCATGGGGTTCTGGCAACATTCTGTTTCTTAATATGACTTATAATTACTAAGTATGCTCACTTTGTGAAAATTCTTTGAGCTCCACACTTAAAATTTTAATTTTCTTTAATTATGTTATATTTAAACATAAAAAGAGTTATGGAAAATCCAGCAGCCACTGCTCTGTTAACACTTCACCACAGTACATAATTCAAATTAATTATCTCTTCTACATCATGTGATTTTTTTGAGGAAGGGGAGTCATATTCAATATTGTATTAAAACAAGAGACTTTCCTAACTGGGGTTCCTGGGTGACTCAGGGTTGAGCATCTGCCTTTGGCTCAGGTTGTGATCCCAGGATCCCAGGATTGAGTCCCGCATCGGGTTCCCCACAGGGAGCCTGCTTCTCCCTCTGCCTATGTCT